GGGTCCATTAAACCCTAAACCCTAAACCCTAAACCCTACATTATACTATACCTACAATGAGCAGCCGCCAAAATAGTATAGGTAATTATTTAGGCCCCTGTTGTAGGGCTTTAGGGCTTGGGGCCTAAAGTTGGGGGCTTCTGTTCCTTTAAGCCCAATACCCTGGCCCAAAAAAAAGTTTAAAACTTGTCTTTTAGTAGGGGTTTAATATACCAAAAAAAGGTTAAAAGTTAACCTATTGGGCTCCTAAGTGTTGGAGTTGGAGGACCCCCGTCTCGAGATGAAGTAAGGAGCTGCGGCGCTAAGCAGATGGAAGGACCAACAAACCCTGCATCTGTCTCCCAATTTTTAGGGTTGAGGGATTTAGGGTTTAGGGTTTTGGGATTTAGGGTTTCGGCTTAGGGTTGCCAGGCCCTGTCTTTAAAATCTCCTTTACAGCCTGCCACTTGTGGCGGCTGGTTGCAGGGGCCCCTTTGCAATATATCGTTCATCTCCCCTGGCTCGATCGCAAGGCTTTGCACCCTCATCCTGCCAATACCCCTTCTTGGATGTGTCCCCTGACTTGCTTCCGCACGCAGAAAAGGGAGCACGGCGCAAGTTGAAATGCGCACCGGGAAATGCGCGTTTCCTGTCGGCTTGCGGGTTGTTGCTGAGCTCGGAACCCTCCGGCGTGACGCACGGACCTGTCACTGGCTCGTCGAATCCATCCAGCGCATAGACCCTCAATGCATGAGGCTATAATTTCCAAAACACCGACACCCCATCTATCGGTGTGTTATCGCTTTTGGATGTTCACCTTATCTTTCTGCAATGTAAACACTATCACCCTTATGACCAGATAGGCCCACAGACTACTCAGTCCCCACCTTAGTTTAACATTTTCCAGAACTACACATATACAGAGAGAAGCGCCCTTGGCACAAGTCCGGAGGCCTAGTGCTAACAAAACGAAAGGCCTCCGGCTTCAGCATGAATCCTTAGGTTCTTTTAAGTACACTGCTTGGGGGATTAGGGTGTAGGGACCCTAAGCCCTCGGTTCCAAGTTCTGCCCGCCTTGCCCTTTCGGGGGCTCTGCCATGCCCCACGGCGACTGGGGTGCGGGTGGAGCCGGCCACCTGCCGAAGCCATAAATCATGAACACCTAACCCATGGGCTTGAGGGTTTAGGGTTTAGGGTTTAGGGTTTAGGGTTTAGGGTTTTGAGGTCTTAGGAAGTTGTTATAGAGGGTTTAGGGTTGAGGGTTTACGGGTTTACGAGTTTAGGGGTTTAGGGTTTAGCGGCTTAGGGTTTAGGATTTTAGCGTTTAGGGGCTTTAGGATTTTAGGGTTTAGGGGCTCTAGGATTTTAGGGTTTAGGGGCTTAGGGTTTGAGGTTGTAGGGTCGTGTTGAGGAAGTTAGCTTGATGAGGTTCAACACCTTTCTCTGAAGCTTTTGAAGACTCTCTTCCTACTAATTGCTAGGCACCGGAAAATATTCGAAGTTACCGTCACAAACAAGTTGTACTGCTTTTCTGCTGTAAAGCTAGTAGCCGTTGTAGCAACTTCAAGTTGAGCTCTTTAAAAACTTGGGTCAAGAAATGCCCCGTGAACCAGCCACATATCTCCCAGCCCCTCGCTTTAGGGTTTAGGGGCAGCTTCTTTCAGCTTCCTCGGGTGCGGAGCAAGTGGCTTCATGCCAGTATCCTTCTAAGGGCACCCAAGAAGACACACACACACACACACACTGATCAAAACCCGAATGAAGACCACCTCGCCCCTTGTAAACCACTCAAAGTTAAGGAGACTTTGGGCTTGTCCACAAGCACTTCCTGTCGTTGGGCAAGCTGGCCAAAGATGTTCTGAGGAGGAGCGGGTTGTGTTTAGGGGTTGTTGTGCAGTAGGGGGCAGGGTTCAGAGGCATTCCGTCTGAGAATTGGTCGCCCATGATATTTTGCAATCCGCTGGTTGCAGTAGGCCCTCAGCACTATCACTAAATCTTCTTGCGAACACCAACGGCTCTTCTGGATGTTCCCTCGTCTCCCCTCCTGAGCGAAACTCGCTTCCACTTCAGTTTGGAGCTTCCGGGTTGCAAGGAGTTCCGCTTCCAGTGCCTCTGGCCTAGGGATAACATAGGGGCCTTCATAATTACCTATATTGTTTTTTTTTTGTTCGGGGGGGTCCTTACTATAATTATAGTCTAATCCACCCCCAAACCCTATTCTACTTATTCAGGCCCCTACATTAAACCCTTATAGAACCCTTACAGAGCCCCTTAAGGAACCCTCAATGGGCCCCGAAACCCCTATTATAATTAGTTAGGCCCCTACATCAGGATGCAGGCTTTCGGGCCTCGGTTGCTGGGCCTAAACCTTAAGCCCTCGTCATGGCGTGGCTTCATTAATGTATGGGGCGTTAATATTCAGAATAGGGTTTTGGGGCCCCTTATACTATCATTATCATAAGGACCCCCCAAAATACAATAGGTAATTATTTAAGCTTCTATGTTCATTCTACTGTTTTCGGGTCTGCCTGGTCGCATCACCGGGGTACGAGGCGCTCGGTGGCGAGCTGACAGCACTTGGCTGCTTTGGCACCTGTCGGGCGGTTCGGTGCTGCCAGCCCAGTGAAGCAGTTTTTGTGGTGATGGAGACCTGACGTTATCGACCCACCCAAGCAGCATGTCGTCCGAATTCTCCTACAGGGGCTAAGAAGGGAATGCCACCCTTTTTGTCCAACTACTTTTTGCATCACCATCACCGTCATCGTCATCATCATCATCATCATCATCATCATTGTCATCGTCATCAGCATCAAAATGGTCGTCATCACCGTCATCTTCTTCTCCATGCACCACAACATTGCCGCAACATGCCGAAATCGTCATCGACATCGTACTCCCTTCATCAGCATCATCCAGAATACCGGCATCACGAACCAAGTATTCATATTCCTCCAAATTCTTCTTCTTATCATCATCATCGTCATCGTCGTCACCACCGTGGCCATCATCACGAATCATGATCACCACCATGCTCACAACGATGACTATCATGACAACCCTGCTGCTCCAGTCATCAGCATGATCGTCATCATCGTCGTCGTTGATTATCGCCGTCACCATCCCCCGTATCATCACTACCAGCATGCTCGTCGTCCGAACACAGAGAGTCAGAGCAAGGGAATTACCATGAGGATGTCAGTCAATCCTGCCTAAAGGATTCAAAAACAGAACATCGGTTCAGCTGCAAAAAATGCACTGCTCATTATTGTAGCGAAGTAATCTGTAAGGGCAACGAAACAGCTGACGTCAAGCGGTCGTAAAAGCCAGCAATACTTCATGCCTGTGGAACAAGTTGCCCCACAATGCAGACCCCTGATCAAGTCACCCCAGCCCTGCTTCAAGGACTACCAAAATGCAGATCCAACCGTGAACCTTCCCAACAGTCAGCCAAAGACAATCTGAGTCGAGCTCTGTGATAGAACAACTCTAAAACAATAAACAGGGCCCTGATGACTTCAACAGCGTTTAGGGTGTATGGTAGTATACTTACATAGTGACCATAAGTACTGAGCATTCCAAAGTAGCAGCAGGTCGATGAGAAAGTATCGTTGCATCAGGCTATGTACACCCTTGAACCCTCCCTAAACCCTAAACCATTGAGAGCCGAGCTGTGCTGGCTGGCGCACTGGGAATTGGGGGCCTCGCTTTCTCATTGCGCACGTGCGCGAAAAAGAGCTTGAGGCTTTGGGGTTGAGGGTTGAAGGTGCAGGGTTTAGGGTTTATATAGGGTTTAGGGTTTATATAGGGTTTAGGGTTGAGGGTTTAGGGCTTTGAGGGTTTGGGGGGGTGTAGGGTGTTTGCCTTCAGGGGCCGGGCTGTGGATTCAGAGGTTTATGCTTGGGGTCCTCAGCTCCCGCACCGAAGTTCTTTGATCGGAGCATTCTTGAACCCCCCCTCAACCTTCAACCCTCAACCCTGAACCCTCAACCCTAAGCCCTAAACCCTAAACTCTAAACTCTAAACTCTAAGCCCAAAACCTCCACCCCGAACACCTGGGCCATGAACGGCCACAAACCCACCCGTCTTCTATTGCAAAACATACACCCCGGTTAGCCTGCAGCCTGGGTTTTGGTTTGGAAACCCTAAACCCTAAACCCTAAACCCTAAACTCTTCAAGTAAGCAGTTCGGCGGACTTTCGGGTTTTAAGGTTTCGGGTTTAGGGCTTAGGGTTTAGGGCTTAGGGTTTAGGGTTTAGGGTTTAGGGTTTAGGGTTTAGGGTTTAGGGCACTATAGGGGCCTTAGTAATTCGAATAGGGTTCTGGGGTTTATCATACTATATCTATAATAAAGATCCCCCCAAAACCCTATTCTAATTATCAAGGCCCCTACATCAAACCCATAACGCGAGTTTGGGTTTCAGGAAGGGCGAGTTTAAGGCTTGGCTTTCAGTCCTTACTCGAGGGCTGCGGATGTCCACCATTGCTTGGGTTTCTTCAGAGTACCACCTAAACCCTAAACTGAAACCCTAAACCCAAAACTCCTAAACCCTAAACTGTACCTTTCAGCCCCAAACCCAATAGAACGGTAAGCCCTGAAGACCCTAAAAATAAGGTTTAGGGCTTTGGGTTTAAGGGTTTAGGTGTTTGGGTTTAGGGTTTAGGGGTCACTAAACCCCAACCTCCACTAAACAAAGCTTTCACATCGCTGCATGAAGGATCTGTGACTAACGAGGGAAGGCTCTGCACACGTAAGAGGGTTGGAGGGCTTAGGATTGAGGGAAACCCTAAACCCTAAACCCTCAACCCTAAGCCGTAAACCTTCTTGAAATGTTGATGGCGTGCTGGAAACTAAGGGCCCTGAGGTGCTTGCATGAGCATTTAACCAGCTCACCCTAAAAGGTAAGGGCTTAGGGTTTAGGGTTTAGGGTTGTAAGTCTAACAGCCGAGCCATGGCCTTATGGGCTCAACGAACTGAAGTCCTTTCATGAATGTCATGAAGGAGGAAAGACATGCCGCACTAAGTGGGTCCATGCTACAGTAGGCCAAGCTTAGCAAACACAACGACGTGCTTTTGAAGCATCGTGTGACTGAGGTGATACAAGGGTTTGTGCACTCGGAATGGGGTTGTGGGCTCGTTCTGTATGTAATTATGATGAGCTATCAGGGATGCTACTGTTGCTGGCTGTTCTGGCTTTGCATCTTTAAAGATCATGGCCACTAGGGCCGTCTTCTCAGAAACCAGTCTTGCAGCTGTACATGATTGGGTCGCTGACCTCCATAGACTTCCGCGAGAAACCTATAAAAGCCTGTCGGCTCTTTGTAGCATGCCTGGAAAAGACCAAGCAATAATCCCCGATTTTCGTATCCATGTGAACAGAGCCCTAAACCCGAATCCTAAACCGCAAGCCCTGTGGACATCGTCATAGGGTGTCTCTGAAACCTAGAACCCTAAACCCTAATCCTAAACCTAAATCC